GTGCCTCTCTCTCTTCCACTGCCTCATTTCTGCTCTCTGGGGCTCTGTCACCAAATGGAATGATGAAACAGCTTCCTTCCACTGACGTCAGACCTTGAGCATCCTCCAGCCCTCGGATGGGGGCAAATTCTTGTTTTCTGGACTCTACCAAAGGAACTGGGCACAGGGAGATGACACCTGGGCATAAAGGAGCACACGCCTTCGGAGTGTGTGGTGTGCACCTGGGTGTGAGGGCCAGGCAGGGAGACAGCTCTGAGGGACAAGTGGGCTTTCCACACCTCCCGGTGGGTGAGGACTTTTTCCCATATGTTCAGTTCACACATGCTCACTGGACTTTCTCCATGTGTCCAGCACCATGCCGGGCACCATGTGGGGAACAGACCTTGCCTTTGAAGAGGTCAGGAAGGTGGGGGGGAGAAGACACGTGTGGAAGTCACTAAAATGGACGCACAGTGGGCCGCCCACTCTCGGAGAGGAATTATCAGGGAGTTCAGCAGGCCAGGGAGGAGGAAAGTATTTCTGTTTACTGGGAATTCGGAAAAACTATTTGAAAGAATGAGCACTTGAGAGGAGCCTCGAAGGCCGATATAATAATAGTTACTTCGTTCTCATAATAATGTCATTACTATCATCGTCATCACAACAGCTAATATCTACTGTTCGCTAAATGCCAGGCACCACGCTCAGCACCTTACAGAGCTCACCCCAATTATCCTCATACTCACTTGACAGATAAGGAAACCGAGGCTTAGAAAGCCAAGAAAACTAGGAAGCGTCAGAACCCAGACTAGCACCCAAGTCCGTGTGTCTCCCAAGGCCACCAGCCCCTGCTCTGCGGGGCCAGAGTGAGGGCTCCTCCCGGGCAGGGCCTGAGTGTAGGCAGACGGGAGGCAAGTACAAGGCCAGGGATGACCATGGGGGACGGTGCTGGGAGCATGGCCGCAGCGAGGTTACAGGAGCCTGAGCGCCGGTGCCCGGCACCTGTCCTTGTTAATGGACAAGGGAGAGTCGAGGGAGGTGTGACGTAGCTGGACCCCACCCACGGGATGACTGGGAAAGTGGATCGGGGCCAACAGAGCGAGAGAAGGGGCCGTCACAATGGTCTGGGTGCGAGACTGCAGCTGGGCGAGGTGAGAGGGTGTGTGGGCGAGGGATGGAAGGTTAGGTATGTGTCAGAAAGGGAAAGTGTGTGCACGTGTGAGCCCACATGTGCATGAGTGCCAGGCCCTTCCTGCGGAGGAAGGTCGCAGAGCCATCTGGATTCTGGATGGGAGGAAGGGACAGGGTAAAGCAACCGATCCAGCTGAGCAGTAGGGCTCTGGGAGTAGGAGACGGCCATTTCACAGATCCGCTGGGCCCTGAGACGCCCACGCAGCCTAAGGCATCCAAGGGACTCAGTGGCCATTTGTTTAAAGGAGGCCGTGAATTAATCTGGTCTCCTCGGAGCCTGGCTTTGCCCTCCGGTTGTGTGGGGGGTCACTGTCATTCCAACTCCCTCCTTCTCGGCCCCCTCTGGCCCAAATCAGATGTTCTAAGCAGCGGGAACAGCCACATTCCGATGGCCCAGCCTGGTCCCCAGGGCCCTAGCCCCCTTCCTGGACTTCATGCTCCCTCCCCCTTGCCCTGAATATCTTTGTAACAAATGTGTTCCTGTGTGGGCTCCAAGCTGACTTCATACTTGCCCAGGTCAAGGTCTTCCCTCCTCCCTCCTATTCCAGAGCAGAGAGGATACTGCCAAACTGGTTCCAGGCTTTTGTCTGGGCCAGAGATATTCTGCTGCTCATCAGGGACAGAGGGCCCCGTTCAGCTCCTCTGACCACAGTTACCAGCTGGCCAAAGGCTCTCCCTCCCCGGGATTTCACAGACCCAAGACCAGTGGCCCTGGATCTCATCCTCACCGAGGCCAGCTCTTTCAATGCTCTTCCCAGCCTGTCTGCATCCTGGCAGAACAAAACAGGTAGACCAATGTCTAGGAGGGGCTGGCTCCCGCAGCCAGAGGGAAGAAAACCCAGGCTCAGCTTCTGGAGCACCTCCTGTCTGACCGGCTGCAAGGGGAGGCTTTGTCCAAAGGAACCAGAGACCAGCCCCTTTCCTGCTCAGCTCAGCTGCAACCCCTGTATTATGAAATAATGAATACAGTTTGGCACCTGGAGAGAAAAGGATTCTCTTTCAAGACTGTATAATCTACAAAAAATTAGAGGAAGCAATGCTTTAGAAATCATGGAATCTAACCCCGTTATTGACAGATGTAGAAACAGGTCTAAAATTGTGGAGGCTTTCACCTGCTTGAAATCAATCTAAACCATTTCTGACTTCCCCGAAAAGCTCCGTTTGCGTCCAAAAGGATATCTGTGGAATGAATGCACTTGCCCTTGGGACAGAGCCAGGACTAGAACCTGGGTCTGTGCCTCCGGGCTCAGAGCCTTGTTGCCACAGGCTCTCTGCCTCCAGGGACTGTGCCTGTCAAGACTGCTTTGCTTCCTCCAGGGCGATCGGGCGCTGGGGCGGACGTGGGTGGGTGATTTGTTAGACAGTGAGTCCTGGGGGCTGCCTGGCACAGTCTGCCCTCCAGATGGCAGCCAGCTAAGTCCAACAGGGCTGGGGAGCAAGGGAGTGTGTGCTCTGATTTAGGGCGGATCCAGGTGGGCTGGCTCACCTGAGGCTGTGGGAAGCTTCCAGAGCCTAAGGAACAGCTCTTTGTCCCCTCCCTCTCCTTGCCACACCCTCCAAGTCAGTATCATGGAGCAGGCTCTTTGCTCACTAGGGTACCCACCTTGGGCATTTGGAAGGGATATCTCAGTCCCCAGAGGACAGCCGGCAAGAGAGAAAAAAAGACAAGAGACGTGGGCTGGGAGTGTGTGTCACAAATCCCGGCTGAGCAGCCAGAAGGCCTCGGCCACCACTGGGTGCGTGATCACTACGTGATGTCCTGAGTGCATGTTCCCTCAAGGCCCCTCTGGCTGTGAGAAATCTAGGATTCTCTGCTTCCTCACCCGAGTGTCCCCAGCGATTAACACCTGGTAGGTACTTAAAACAGTTCACTGAATGATTGAAATGGACCCTCTGTCAGTCCAAAGGGCCCAGAGGCCAGGAAGGCCATTCTTCCCTCTGGTGTCTACCACCCAAACACCACAGAAGCCATTTGTTCCGGAGAAGCCCTAGCAACGCAAGAGCCCTTTGCGAACGGGCTCCTTCTCCTAGATGCAGACATGGCTGGAGGAGCCACAGGAAGCAGGAAAATGTGCCTACAGGAGAGAGGGTGGCCAGAAGCCCAATGGGAGCAGAGGGCCCAACTCGTACCATCTTATTGCCTAACTCCTCTCTTTCCCGCTCTTTCTGGCTTCCCTCTCCTCCCTGCCTTGTCTCCACTCCGTGTCCTCTCCCTGCCCTGTCCCACCCCCTTTGCTCTCTTGCTCAGCCACAACCCGTCCTCCCTCCCTTGTGGAGGCTCTGAGCCTTCTACTGGTCCCGGAGCTGCCGGATCCCATTAGCCAGGAAGACTCGGGGGCTGAGAGGAGATAGCCAGCTGGGGCCAGGAGCCTCAGGCTTTCTCGGGGTCAGGGCAGGGAGAAAGCAGCAGTGGAGGGACTGAAGTTCTGATCTGTGCTCAGCCTCTTGAGTTGAGGACCTAGAAGAGGGACTCCTCTTTGAGGGAATCTAGAAGTGCATTTCTCTCTACCTTCCTCCACAGGGTTCCTGGGGAGATGTCTTCCTTCTGGCCCTCCTGAGCCTTCCCCACAATACACTCCCCGGCACAGAGTTAGATGAGGCAGAAAACTGCCCTCTCTCTTCCAGCTTGAGACCTATTTAGAAGTCCTGTGTGTGTGTGTGTGTGTGTGTGTGTGTGTGTGTTATGGTTGGTGTGTGTGAGAGCATACACAGAGGGATGGCAGGGTGGTGTGCGTGACACTGAGGGTGCTATGGTCCCTTTTGGTCTATGTACGGTGAATTCAGTGTGTTATTTGTGGTATGATATACGTGTATGTGTAACGTGTTGATGGAGTGTGTGGTGCAACAGAATGCGTTGTGTGTGTGTGCCAGTGTGTGTAATGTGGTATGCACATATATGTGTTTGGAGTGTTAGGGGCACATTTGTGACATGTTGTGGGGAGGACTGGAGTGGGTACACGGCCACCTCAGTCCCGTGTGGGAGCTAGCTGTCCAGGGTCTCCCAACCAGAGAAGCCACGGATAACCAGTATCCAGGCAACCATGTTGGGGGGAGGGGAGGAGATATGGAGGTGAGGAATGGGCAGGAAAAGGAAGGGAGGCTGGGAATTGAAGAGGAGTTTCCATGGCAACTACCAGGGAGGTCACGTGCAAAAGGCTAAGTTGCAGAAACAGATACACACATCCACACATCCACAATCTGAGGGCGCTGGGCCCCCAGGGTGGGGGTTCTTGCATAGAGGACATGGGCTGCCCACTGATCCATCTCCAAACCTGGAAATGCGGGCCCAGCCGGAGGGCGCAATGCCCAGGAGACAAAGGAAGTGGAGACAGAGGCCCGAAGGCTCAGCAGCCAGCCCCCCATGTCTGGGGGTTGGCGGCAGGGGCCTGACCAGGCCCGTTCTCCAGCTCAGCTGCTCCCACCCTCGGGTGCTTTCTCTAACAGCCACCACTTGTAAGAGCCAGAAGCAAGCACCAGGAGCCGGGGCTGCTCTTCCAAGTGTCCACGGAAGCCCAGCAAGACACAATGGGGGAGGCTCTGCCAGGGGGGGCTGGGCATGAGGAAAGGGGAGAATGAGGGATCAGGGAGGCCCCCTGGAAGAAAACAGGACTGGATAAACAAGGAGAAAAAAAACAAAAACAACCAATGCAGACATTCTCATGAATCCCATGCTCTGGAACCCCAGCCCTTCTTTACCTTCTCCCCATCCCCTTGCCCACCGCCCAGCCTCAGCTCCCATGCCCCCCAACACCAAACCAGCCGCCCCATTTTCTATTGCTGGTGTGTCTATACCCACATCCAGCCACCTCCCCGCGTTCACATGCCCACGCTCAAGTGTCCACAGCCTCCCAGTAACAAAGGGGAAACTCCCGCTGGAGACAGGGTGGGAGCTGCCCCTTCCCCTTCTCAAAACACGGTAGCTCCGAGCTCCAGGCAGCGGCCAGCGCGCTGCCGGCCACCAGCTTCGCCCTCACCGCCACCCGCCACGGCGGGCCTCCCCAAGGCCGCCGCGCTCCCCTTCCGACGCCCGCCTCCGCGTTCACAGCCCCCGGCGCGTTTCCGCCGCCCGGGCCGCCCGGGGCCCGCGAGGGCCGCTCACACCCACCGAAACAAACAACACCCGGCAGCTCCCGGCGCCCGGCCTCGCGCCCTCCTCGGAAGAAGAGCCCAACTTTGCCTCCCGCGCCGCCGCCTACCTGCACAGCGCGGGCCCCTCGCAGACAATCCCCGGAGGACGCACGGAGTCCGAGGAGCCTGGGAGCGGCGGGGCTGGGGGCAGGGCGGTGGGCGAGGCTCTCGCGTGTTTCCCGCCTCCCCTCCTGCGCAGGGCTGGGGCGGGCCGGCGGCAGCCGCGCGGCCCGCGGGGGTGGGAGAGGGGGGCGGGGCTCGGCCGGGCCGGGCTCGGGGACCGGCCGCCGCCGTGTCACCGGCTGGCGTCGCACGCGCAGCCCCTCTGCTCCGCGCTCCTGGGAGGGTGAGGGGGGCCGCGTCTCCAAGGGCGGCCCGGCTCCAGAAGCAACAGGAGACTGCCGCCGAGGGGGCGGGCCCGCGCCCGGGATTTGCCGCCCGGGATTTGCCACCAGCCGCTGCTTTTTGGTTTCCCTCTGGGGAGGGGTGGGAAGGCGGCGAGACAAACACAATGACAGAGCTAGTGTCTCTCCGAAATAGTAAACTGAGGGGAACGGGAAAAATAACCCAGCACCAGACACAGCAACCCACGTTAATTGGGAGGCTTGGCAATTAAGGGGAATGTGTACCCGAAGCATGAATGGCTGCGTCGTGGGCGCGTGAGCGCGCTCTGGTTGTAGTTGTCATTTCCAGCTAGAGCCAGGGGTGGGGGGCTCACCCGACTGACAGGTGTGCTGCCCAGAACCCCCTTTCCAGAGCCCCTCATCCTGGCCCTGCCGGGTCGCAATCCTGCCTCCCACCCCCAACCTCAGCCTCCAAATTTAAGATGACAGTTGAATTTCAAGATGCAAATCCTGACTCTGCACGTCTACCTGTGATGTAACCTTGAGCCAATGGCTAAAGGAAGCTCTTGCGCCTCAGTTTCCTCACAGGCGACAATGGCTGTGGGAACACTCACTTCCGGGGAGGCTGAGCCCAGGAGCTCAGAGGAAGTGCTCAACAAACCGGCGGCCACCCAGAGGAGCAGGGCTTGTAGGAAGGGGCCGAGTCAGGGGCTGGCAGAGACCACAGAAACACAGCAAAAGCTGACCACTCGGCTGGTAGCCAGGAAGCCATGCTGCCTGCCACAAGGCTGCCCAGGCTGAGCCAGGACTGGGGCGGACAGGGTGAGGGGTGTTTCCTGATAGACACTGTAATTATCCACACCTAGACAGGGCCACAGGGACTTCCTTGAAGACCCCCAACCCTGGGACCAGGGGTACCGCCGGGAAGGGGCCCAGCCCTACCCCTAACACCCCCAACCCTCAGCCTCAGTATTTTTATTTGCGAAAAGAAGCAGACTAGATAATCCTAAGGCCACTTCTAGCTCTAACCCTAGATGATTTGATTATTTTAACAAATGATCAGGTCCCAAAACCCCAAGGTAATCATGAATTCAAAAAGGCTTTGCACAGATTTGAAAGCCCTAAGTGGCTACTGAGAACAAGTAGGTAGCCCAAGGGAGACCAACGCGACGACAGTTCTGACCCATTGAGCACAGGACCTTGGACAAAATGGACATGGTTCTGAGACAGTCCCCAAGTTCTGTGGATAGCTCTGAAAGCTAAAGCTCTAAGCCTGGCTGCAATCTTGCCAATCCATGGGACTTGACACAGACCGAGTCACCTTTCTGTCCCTGCCTTTTCCTCCACAAGGGAAGACTTGGTGACAGCTGTCTTCCCTCTTCCTTTGCGTTAGGTGGTGAGAGAGACGAAACCACACCACTTGGTAGACCCACGTCCTTGGGCAAACAGATTAATCCCTCCCAGATGACCCTGAATGTTGCCTTTCGGCCATTTCTCTGTGCTGCTCTTTGGAGCTCCTCCCGGCGGGGACACATCAAACCCAGGCTTTGCAAGCCTGTTTGCGGAAAAAAGGAACTCCAAAGCCAAGTCACCTGGAGTAGCAGCCCCTTTCCCGGCAGAAAATTCCAAGGTGTTTGGCGAGATTACTTCCTGGACGAAGCTGTTAGCTCTGCTCACCAGGGGCATGGCATGGAAGGAGCCACTGTGGCCCTCGAGCAGGGGCGACAGGCTGGGGTAGGAAACAGATGCTAGACCAGGCAGGCCTGGTAGTTCCTGGGTGAATCCAGCTTTTATCCTCAGGACAATGGGAAGCCACTGAAGGGCATTAGGAAAACTGTTGCAAGCAAGACCTGGGGAGTGGCTGGCTTAGGATGTAGGGGGACCCCACAGTGACGGGTCAGGGGCTGTGAGGAGAACAATGCTAACGTGAAGGTGCAAAACAGGCCTGGCCCCCAAATGAAGAGAACGTGGCTTCTCTAAAGGCCCTGGGAGCAAAGAGAGAGAGAGCTGGGGCAGGGGCGCACAGCCATGGTGCAAGTAAGACAAGAAAGGCTAGAAACCGTCTCTAAAACGCTCCCCAGGCGGACAGAATTGGAGCCATGAAAAGACCTAAGGCTCAGAAGGATATAGCCTAACTGTTGGGAGCACAAGGGACGGCTCCATGCTTTAAAGCTTGGGCTGAGCTAAGGAACTCACAGCTGTGCTACTAAACACGAAAACCCCGTGCGGGTAGCACTCACCTCATCCCGAGGCACTGCAGCAAAAACAGTCTTCCAGCATGTCAGCACCCGGGGCACAGAGCTGCAGACCGACTGACTGAAAGTAGAGGGCCAGCAGGGAAAATTAAAGGGGCAAGACCAGAAGTCTTGGGGAGAGACCCCCTGCCTCTCCTAGCAGGTAACCCTCCAAGGTGGCTTTTGGGGTACCATCTCATCCTCGGTGCAGACTAAAGCATCAGTCTGCCCACCAACTGCTACTTTCAATCCACTCATACTCACTTCGCTTTGTACAAATTCGAATGTACCGCCTCCCCCCAGCCAAATGCTGAGCCCCCAAACCCCAGGAGAGAACCGTTTCTTAACTCCTTGTCTGAAAGAGCTTGCTCACTTCCGAACTGCTCCTTGAACCTGGTCCCTTCTGCCCTCCCTGACCTGTCTTTCTTGAACCCCTCCGACTTCTCCCTCAAGCAGCTCATGTGGGGAACTTTGTTGCTTTACACAGTTCCTGGACCATCCAATCCACAACCATGGTTTTGCCATCTGCTTAGGGCTGATGGCCCTGCACTCTCCAGCCTGGTCCTCACCCCCAGAGACCTAGAGGAGTAATCCCCAGGGACCCAGCACTGCTCGTGCTGAATCCATCATTCGACTCTCCCCACACCCCAAAAGTGCTTCCCCTCCTGTGTCTTTCCTGAATTCCTCAATGGCACTGCCCCCACCCAGTCACTCACCCGGGAAAGCATATACCATCCTCACTCCTCTCCCCCCACTGCTTCTGTTCTAGATCAGGCCTCTCTGCTGCTAGATTCCTGCTGGAGACTCTGCCTTAGTCTCCCCACCCCCTGGCTATCAACTCTTTGGTTTCTGCTGCTCGGATGTGACTCAAACCTTCAGCAGCTCCGTGTTTTCTACACGCTACGGTCCAACTTCTTAATACAATGTCCAGTCTTTAAAACCCAGTACCCACCCGTCTTCGGTGCTTCATCTCCTGACCCCACTCTTTGCTCGGCCTCCCCCGTCCCATCCCCACCCCTGTCACCCCAATCCTTACAAATACTCGTCCCCCAGCCCAAGAGGGCCACTCACAATGATCTGAATATGCTGCCTGCTTGCCTGCCCCCAATCTTTGCTCGTATAGTTTCTCTGCTTAAAACATCCCCTCTTTCTCTTCTCCCCTTGTGAGAATTCTACCTACTCTACAAAGCTAAATCCAAACATCACCTTATTGAAATTAAGGCCGTCCTGTCCTGCTGTCACGAATGGTGTTGTGCCTCTGCATTTATAATGGTGCATGCCATCGTCTGGCTTTTACTATGTATAATTGCCTATGTGTGGCCTTAATGGGGTGGGAAGTCCTTGGGGGCAGCCTGGGCTCTCACTCCATTTGTAAACCCCAGTGTCTTGCCTGGTGACCCATCTATAACTAGTTGAATTCAAGGGAATTGTAGCTCCCACGACCCCGCGTGATTGTGTCCCAGCCGGCCTCTCCAGATTCATCTTGAACACTTTCTCTTCTCCCTCCTACTTCTCCTCCTCTTCCTCCTCATCCATTTTTTGTCAGAAATATGAATGTGATGCCTGGAGGTAAAGCAGCCATCTTGCATTCCAGAGTTCTTGTCACCTGAGAAAATTCAGCGCCCATTACAGAAATGTCCTGTAGCTGGTTTTCTGTTCCATGCAGCCTGCACAGTCCTAACTGGTACAAATAGGATGGAACAGCTCGGAAGGACAGCCTTGCATCAGGAGAAAGCAGAAATTCAGCACAAGTGAAGCTTCCTCACCTGGAAGACCCCTACCTGCCATTTACACTAGCACACACCTGACACATGCCAATCCCAGCCCCTCTCTTCCTGGAGCCGGTCCCCCCCAGAGCCCCGCTTCCTTAGCCATCCTTATAGCAGGATCTGGATTTTGAGAAGGGAAGACTGCAAAGACAGGCAGAGTCGGGGAGGTCTGAAATAAAATTTCACCCTCTCTTCCCACAGGAAAACTATAACATATGTCAGGAAACAAGGCACGCCAGAGCATGCATGAGATTTGTTTCTAAGTGAAAAATCCACCCCAGTGCCATTAGTCTAGAGAACTAAATTCTGCCTGATTAACTTAAACTTGCCGTGTGAGTGTGAAGTGTCACCTCAAGGTGCCAATCTCTAATTATGAGCATGCCTCTTCCAGAGCTACTGGTTGTCCAAATTGAGCACATGACTACTCCTCCCCCCCCCCGCCTTTCCACTCCACAAATATGCACCCATTTGTCTTTTCCCAGGGAATGCAAATGGGAGAAAACGAGCAATGTTACCCTTTGGAGATAATGATGTTGGAAATTCAATACATAATGGCTCCCTAGACGCGACCAGAATAGCTTCATGTTTCTGCTTTCCCCATGCACAGAGAAGCTGACAGCCTGTTAGCATAAGCAGGCGTCTGAACTCCCCAACCCTCCCGGAGTGCCTGGAGCCAACGTTTGTGGGGAGAGGCACCTGTTTATCATCATATACTTTCTTCAACCCACTGGATCCAGGCTCAGTACAGAGGCTGTAGCTGAGTTTTTGAGCCAGGAAGAACCATAGGGACCCAGCAGGCACCCCCATTCAGTCTCTCGACCAGCCCTGCAACCAGACAATAACCCACTAGCCCAGTCACGCATCCAGGCAAGAAAGACTTGCGTCCACTTTTTCTCTTTTGCATCCCCCACTCCCACCCCCACCCCAAAGCCTAAGCTAGAGTTGAGGGGAGGAATAAAAATGATCTGGGGCTGGCAGGGGGCTGAACTTTATAGCAGAGTGTTGTGTGAAGCCTGAAGACTAATTGCTGTGAGGGGAAAGCAACTTCCGTGCGGGGCAAACTAAGTGCCTGTAGATAAAGCTGCATTTCTCCCAAGAAACAGGCAGGCCCGGCATCCTGGGGCTGTGCCTGGCCTGTCTTGGGAAAGGGGCTCGTTTCTGATGGCAATGGGCTTCCAAGAGGGACACCGGACAGGTCAGCAGACCACTTGCGGTCGTGGGGACACTACTTCTCTTGTCTGTTTATAATGGACCCTTGGGTTCATTGACTTCTCCATCTCTCCCAACCCTCCTATCATTCCGTTCTCTCTTTGATGTTGCTGTTCATGTAATTGCCTCTCGGACCAAAGGCATGTTTGATGTCCACCATTTAAAGCATTATCTCTATTGATTTTCATCTTTCAGGCCTTATATGGGCTTTAGATGTGGCTGGTGGGAGGCGATGGGCATAAAACACTCACCATTCTGGCCATCCACTCTAATATTAAACATTTATATAGCCCTTGAACACAACTCCTTCCCAGAACATTGTTTAAAAGAGAGTCCACAATCGTCTTCCTAAGTTTAACTCAGAACCTCAGCTCCCCAATCAGCAGGAGGGTTGCAATGATGTGACTGGGGCAATCCCCTAAGTGGGTTGCTCCTGGATGGTGAGTAAGTTGAAGATAGGAAGGATGTCTAGTTTATGTTTTTTGCTTGTTTGTTTTGTTCGGGGGTGTTTTTAAGGTTTTTTTTTTTTTTCTTATTTTATGCTTTTAACACCTGGTCTCCAGCACTTGCCAATATAATAGGTGGATAATCAGTATTTACTAATGCAAAAGATTAGAGTGATATTGACAGAGAAAACCAATGTGCATCGAGAACAAGACCCCCTAGACCAGTGCTGTGAGGCCGTCTGAGGCTGCCTTGTCTGACAGGCAAATGAAAGGGAGAGGTGGAAAGCAGGCTTCCGGGGACATGGGCCACAGCAGATGCATCTGGAGACTGCTCTTAAATTATGGTAAGTTGTGTTTCCAAAGATGGCCTCGATGGTATCTCCCATCCCACAGGCTCTTCTGCAGCGCCGGCCACTGCGAGGCGGCACCTGTCTCTCCTCCCTGCAATCTGGGCTGGCCGTGGGACTGTTCGTTTGAACAAACGTTGTTCGTTTATTCAAACGAACAACAGAAAGAGGTAGAATGATCGCCGTATAACTTTTTAGATGGGGCCTTAAAAGAGCTGCAGCTTCTGCCTTCAATGTTTGGCACACCACCTCTTGGAAGCCAGCCACTTTAGAAGAAGTTAGACTACCCTGCTGGAGAGAGAGAGAGAGAGAGAGAGAGAACATGGAGAAAGGACTGAAGCCACCTTCAACGTTCCCATCCCAGCTCCTACTCCTCAGATCTTGAGTAAATAAAATGGTGGTTGTTTTGTAAGCCATCAAGTTTGGGAGCATTTTGTTTTGCAGCAATAGATGACTCAAGCAAGGTGATTGGGCCCCACCCCAGACCCATGAATCTGATTCTCCAGGAACAGGACCTGGGCATCAGCTTTTTAACAGCACCTGCCCAGGGCCAGGGAAAGAGCTGAGCCTCCCCGTGATTTCTCCCGTGGACGGCTTCATTCGTGGCTCACAGACTCAGTGGGTCTGAAGTCCTAGAGTGCACAGTGCGTCTGAGCTGCAGGAACCCAGGCCAGGGACACACGTGGTAAGAGAGATAAGGCCACATCTTGGAAGAAACAGGGCACCAGAGAGCTCTGGGCACAGAGCCCTGAACAGAGCCACGGACTAGCTGAACCGGATGAGGCCTTAGAGGACGTTTTGCAAATTGGGAGCCCACGGCCCAGAGAGGGGAACTGACTGACTCAAAGTCACCTAGCTTGTTTGTGGCCCAGTCAGGACCAGAGCGAGGTCTCCTCAGTACCGGCCCACTCTTTCCCTTGCCCGTCTCTCTCTCAGGATTTCTGGGTCCTGAGGACTGAGAAAAACAGATGCTTTCCTAAATGCATGGTAACTATCTTAAAATATTAACTAAGCCTTGTACGTGTGAGTACCAATTATTAATGTCCCAATTAAGGTGAACATCCCAAGAGTATCCAGAGTAAGAGAAAGATCAGAATAAAAGGTGGAATTCATCTGGGCTGCCTTCCTAAAAGAGTTGACCTTGAAGGAGAAGGATGGGGGTTTGAGGCAGGAAAGGAGCAAACCCAGGCACGGAGGTGGCAATGAGACACGTGGGAGGTACAGTCTGATCTACTTGGCAGGTTCAGAAAGGCCCGCTGGGAAGGAACAGGGATTTACAAGAGTCCATCTAGGGTCTGTTTTCTTATCTGG